TATATATATATATATGTGTATATGTATATATATGTGTATATGTATATATATGTATATGTATATGTATATATATATGTAAAAAATATGAAAAAAAGTCTCTGTAGACACAGACACCAACACACACCTCTAGTGGGTTATGAGCGATGATTGAAAGGGATTTCTTTTTCAGGAAAATGTAAAATAATAAGCCTTTAACAATCTATCACTCTCCTCAGATGAACCCTCGGCTCTAACTCGTGCCTTGCTGTCCTGTGTTTCAGGGCGTCGGGGTGTTTGGCTGGCTGGTGGTGGGCGAGGGGCTTCCAACGGTTCGAGTTCTGCCCGTTCAACGCTGCCAGAAACATTGCAGCTCCTTCAACCTGTGGCTGACGCCTGGAGACATGGGTAACAACGGCTTCACCCGTTTTTAATCACAAACACATTTAACTCGACAAAAAGACAACTTCACAATGTACAAATACACTTTAGTCTGGTTTCCACAGAATAGAAAAATATCTTACACATAGATTACTTGTGGAAAACCACAGCAGATAGATTTTTATACAACTAAAAAACATATAAATATATTTCCCAATAAGTAAAGTAAGTTGACGGTTGTTCTCTTTAAACCTCCTGTAGTCTACGCTGACACTCGGTACTGGCAGATGGAGCTGTTCCCGGGCCGAGGCCAGAACATCATCTGTGACGGATCGGCCCTTTAAACTTCAGGAGGACAGAGTTCGTTCAGGACGTGCAGGTCGGCTGTGAATGTAGAATTTCGGAGCTTGCCGGCCTTTCTGTGGCCCCGCCCACTGATGCCTTACAACCCTCCGGTCTTTTTTTTTTTTTTCTGACGCTGCCGTCCGTCAGAAACAATCCTCCCAGCGCTCCTCAAAGAACTGGAAACCAGTGCACACATGACTTCAGTTTGAAACAAAGGGATCTCCAGCAGGTTTAGAGGACTGAGAAATGAGTTGATTGACTTTGTTCTTGTGTAATTTAAACTCTCTGCAGCAGCTTCGATGTGCTGTGCTCGTGCCATAGTTTCAAGCAGATCTCTAGCAATTAAAAACTATTCATCAAACCTGGTCGGTGTGTCTCTCTTTCAGAAGGTACCGGAACACTATTGATTGTTCGGCATCACGCTGGTTCCCGACCTCTGAGTCTCTGGGGTTGTGCTCATTTCCTCGTTCAAAGAAAATAGTCGATCGGAGGCTTCGTAGGCGAGATTAAATATAGGGACAGACGCAGTGAAATGTCTTCAGGTGGATACAAATGTTTGCAGCGTTACAGGTTTATTTAAGTCGACTTCAAGGAATAACAAGTCTTACTTTTCTTCAAACTTTAAAGTTCAGCTCCCTTCCAAACAGAAAACAGCTGACATGATATGAGGCTGAAGAGAAACAAGCTGCAGTTCACGAGGTGCAAAGTCTTCTTGCATTTAATCAACTTATAAACCAAACTATATTTAGAGCCACATGGAGCTTTGGCTGATTCATTCATCCAGTCAATGAGCACTCTCCTTTTTGCAGTGCATTCTGGGAACTTTCGATTGATATTTCGGTGTCTGGACTTGCTGGATGTTTACCACCTGTATTCATGAAGACACACCTGCGGCTTCAGCTCTTCATCTGTAATAATAATTAATATAATTTGGCTTATTTCTAAATAAACAAGCCCATAGGACGAAGGTAAATAAATATCACAGGACGCTGAATGCTTTGGTTTTGGACATATTGTCATTAGACATTTATGTCAAACGGATCAGAATGTGTGTCGCGTTGTTTTAAAGTCAGACCTGTTGGAAGCAGCTGATCAGACGACCTGATGGCAGAAGAACCTGGAACATGTCGGAGCGGCGAGTAAATCAACTTAAACCTAAATCTCAGTTAAATCATTGAGAATATCAAACATTGATTAGTGCAGCTTCAATAATTAAAAAGTAATTACATAAACATGACATAAATCTTTATTAGTCTTAACATGAATAATGTACCAACAGTACAGTAGAAACTCTTTAGAAGTTATGAAGGTTTGTATGTGATTAAATACGGTAGATATGTTGGCAGTCAACAGACAGCAGTCTGGAGTGAGCCATCAGAGTAATTAGACTTTTTAAACTATAATTAATATATTGATAAGTTTATAAACGTATTGATGTAATTCAGAGACGGTACCGTGTGGAGTTTTTGACCATTATTCCGGTGGCACACTGCAGCACTTGTTACCACAATCTGGTATTCATCAGGCTGCTGATTCTTTAATTATCAGACTTGTAAACCTGCAAAGCAGCGACAACTACAGGAAGCACATGCAGTACTTTAAGGATTATGAAGGAAGGCATCTGGCCTTTACAGCAACATTATTCAGGTATAACCTATGACAGTTAAGTGCAGTGGGAACGTTTTAAACAAAGGTATAAGTGACAAAGTGCAGAGACAGAGAGAGAGACTGTTGCAGTTTGAGGGAAAAGCCTCATATTTGGGTTAAAAGGGTAATTTCACCCAAAATACAAAAAATAAATCCCCCAATTCGCCTCGTACAGAGTGCTGCAGGATGACCCAGAAGTTAGCGTCACACTGGTTCCCTCAACAAAAAGCAAACAGGATTTTTCGATTAGATTTCAGATTATGCAGAAAAATCGGCTCTATGGGAAACACAAGTTTATGATACTTACACGTTTTGAAAGCAAGTTAATCTTCCCAAATAAACAACTTTCAATGCAATCGGTAGAAGTAGAGAGCTAACGTTAGCCTGTAAACAAACAGCAGTCTCATGAGCAAACGCCTTTTTTAAGACACTTAGAAGCTTCAAAATCATTTTATATTGTGGAGCAAAGCGTTAAAATCTCTTAAACTTGTGTGAACCACAGACCTTATTTTATCTTTTAGGACTCATTCCTGCAGAACTCTATTATCTCCTCAGTCTGATAGTTCAGATTTTATTCGTCATGTTTAAATGCTGCCAAAACTCAATTTTAAAACTATATATTTTATTAGTAAATAATAAACCTGTTTTGTTTTGGAGGCAGAAATCTCTCCAAACTATGTGACTGGACAGAAACCAGTAAAGGTGAAGGGAGGACATGTTTTTTGGGTCTACTGATCATTTAAACATGATTAGAGAAAGTTAAAAGCAGCAGGAAGCTGTGCAGCCGGTCACGTTCCTCCGGCCAGCAGCGGAGACGACTCGGAGGCGTCGTGTTTGAGATGCGGCGATGCGCCGCCCCCGTGTGGCCAGGCGTCGTACAGGTGGCTGCTCTGCAAATCTGCTTCTGCTCGCAAAGTTATTTTCTTCATAAAAGAAAGAAAGAAAGAAAGAAAGAAAGAGCCAGAAAGACAGAGAACATAAAAAGTGAAGACATGTTCTCCATTTGTCAACCCAGATCTTTAATAAGATCTTAAAAAGGAACAGCTCAACATTTTTAGGAAATCTTATTCTCTCTGTTTCAGATAATGAGATAAATGAATATTAATCTCATGTCCATGTGTTAAGTAGCTTAGCATAAAGACTGGAAGTGGAGGGAAACTGCTAGCCTGTCTCTGTTCAAAGTTAAACATACGTTTGATGGATGAGTTCCCTCCCTCAACACCATAAACTATATTTATATAAACACAATAAAAAATAATCAGACGTAAGCGAGCGTGACGCTACTTTTCTCTTTAATACGGTACAACAATGCGTTAAAGTTTTGAGAAAGCAAGAGAGAAAACTCATAAAATGTGTTGCTTAACTGAATATAGTACCTGAAAATCTCTGATGTAGGTGAGGAAGAAGCTGATGAAGGAGAAGGCCAGAGACCATTCAGACACGGTGCTGATAATGTGAGCCGTGTAACCCTGAAAAAAGACAAACTAACATCAATGCAATGCTGCTAAAGAGCTGCGTTACCAACCAAAATGTGTAATTATTGTTATTTAGATCATGTTCTTGTGTAGCTGCTTGAGTTTATAAAACATCTGAGAAGTTAGAAACATGTCAAACTTGGATATCATATCAGCACGAGTACTAAAAAAAAATGAAATCCAGCTCTAATGCTGCAAAACTGACCGTCTCTCCAGGAGTCCAGTGCAGTTTCTGAGGGACGTCCACTCCGGGCAGACTGGCGTACATGATGACCGATGACACGAACACTGAGAGGAAGCTGTTGAGGACCACAGAGCACTGCTCCAACACACGATAATACAACACGCGGCGTCAACACAACGCGCGGCGTTTTGAATATTCACCAATAGAAAAAATTCCTTAATATATTAGAATGAGTATTGATTTTAAATTAATGAGGAAGTATCTTATAATAACCCGTAACTCTGAGCTTCCTTTAACCTGAACTTCTATATATAAGAACCTCTCAGGTTTGGACAGCAGCTCTGGACCGGCCGTCCCCGTGTTGAAGGATACTGCTGATGCTGCTGCTCAGAGTCCAGAGCCCGATGCCGAGCCGCAGCAGGTAGGTGGTGCTGCTGTGGATGTGAGGCTGCATGTGGAACGAGAGCACCGTCTGGACCAGGATGTAGAGAGCCCCCACCCCGAAGGTCAGCACCGCCCCCACCAGGTGCATGGAGAACAGCGTGGTCTTCTGCGCTCACACACACACACACACACACACACAGATTCACTGCTGACACGCTCAACACTTCACACCCACACTGCACAGGTGTGAACTGATCAGCAGCGCTCACCTGGAAGTTGGCGACCACGGCCATCCCGAAGGAGCTGATCAGGCCGAGCAGCAGCCCGAAGCGGTTCATTCTGTTCAGCTTGAGCTCGCCTTCGCCTTCACCCGTCAGAGCCTCCACCTGTTTGTACCGCACGTACACTGTGGCCATACCTGCACACACAATAATAAATTTAAATTCTCTCTCTCTCTCTGTATGCATTTATGAATCCAGTAACAGTACTCCATGAAACACTATTTATATTGACTGCTCTCCAGACTCCCTGCACTTCTTATTCACTTTAATATATATTATTGATTAAATAATCTTATACGGCCTGAGAGTGAGAGAGTGTGTTTTACCTAAAAAAGCGGACACATCCAGCATGATGCCGAACACACACCTCTCTGGTGCCATCGTTCCTGTGTCGCTGCAACACAAAACAAAGTTAATTCAAAAAGAGTTTAAGGATGATTTTACTGGTGTATCGGTTGATTCTGGTGTCATTGCTGAAGATTTTTAACTATTTTCTAACATTTGTTAGACTAAACAAATGGCCTTGTAATTCATTTATACAATTGCAGACTTACAAAATTAAAAATAAAATTATAATTTACTGCAGCCCGACATTCAGCTGCATTTTCATGGAAAAATTGGAAAGAAAAAATAAAAGTAATATCACAAATTAGCTAATTTTAAAAGGTGTGCAGACCAAATCAATTCTACATATGGAAGACAGTGTTTGTGTGTATGTTTGCGACAGTGTGTGTCTGTGACAGTGTGTGTTTGTGACAGTGTGTGTGTGTCTCAGACCTGATGTAAGGCACCAGAGGATCCACGTGTCTCAGCACCACCGCTGTGATGTAAGCAAAGATGAAGGACGCCGCCGTCCAGACGACCAGCGCCGCAGGCAGGAAGCACAGACCCTGCTGGAACCACCACATGGTCTCTGTGTGTGTGTGTGTGTGTGTGTGTGTGTGTGTGTGTTGGTGGTGGTTCACTATGGCCTATACACAACACACAAACAGTGACACACACATTGTTACACACAGCAGCCATCACCATCATCATCCTCCTCCTGCTGCTGCTTTCTCATTGTAATCTTGAGCGCATGCCACAAATATAAAAACTAAATGACCAAATTAAAGATATTGTTTTGATTGTCGATGCTGACATTAATGTATATTTTAATGTTTTCATTTTTATGTTTTGCTGTAGAGAGAATCTCTTTGGGTTTTAAACTGTTGGTTGGACAAAACATCTGAAGACATCTGGACTGTTGGAAACTGATGTTTTACTATTTTCTTACATTTATTAAACAAAACAATTAGTTAATTAATTGATAAAAACAGTCTGCAGAATTAATATCCTGATCAGTCACATAACATCAACTATAACACCACCATTAATAAGAGACTGAGTAAGACTTTGACAGAGGCTAAATTAATCTTAAATGAACCTAAAAAGAAGCTTCACCTGGGACAATGTACAGCTAACTTAAAGTAACTATTGTAGTAACTTTACAATGTGAACATCTGTTCAGAGAAGTGTTCTCACTGAGGAAGTGAAACAGATAGTCAGTCAAATGAGCCGTTTCACTGTTGTTGTTGAGGAAGTCTCTCACACACCAAACTCCATTAAACAAATGTGAATTTAACGCTTTTTCTAGAAGTTTGCTTGTCTCGCACTCAACCACTGGAGAAAATACATTTAAAATATATGCACAGGTGTTTAAGGATACTGCTGACGACAGTACAAAGAACAAAGAGTACAACTACGTTAGCCTTAAGCTAAGATAACTGGTGAACAAATGACGGATGGCTAATGGCTGGTGGCTAACGCTAGCTACGTTAAATAGCACTACACGTAATACTGACGCTATATTTGACCGTTTTTACCGTTTTATGTTCTGCTATACTGACTAAATAACATCACGTGAACCAGCCGCACTGTAACTACAACTGAACACAACACTCACGTTTTTATTGTCCTCCTGCTTCCTTTAATCACTTATTTCCAAAACCGGACTCTGGTGTTTCAGATCTCGGGTCAAAAACGTCAAGAACCGCCGGTTTACTCCAGAGGGTCGTGTGCGAACACTTACATTAATTAAATAATTCAAGTTTAAAAAATTGCCTACAGAACGGTTGTATTCGTTCAGTCAAGAAAAGGCGAAGTGCGCATGCGCCGGTCAACCAGTCAAAATAAACGGCTTGGCTGTTTTATGTCCCGAGTACTGCCTCAAAGGCAAATCTGAAATACAAACCGGAAATAAATGTCCTCAGTTGACACTGAGAGGAAGATCACATCAAGTGTTAACCATTATTTAATGCTATTATATTGATGATTTCAGGATACCTACTAGAGACTACATCTAGGACCCAAATAGAATAAAAAAAGTCAATATTTTGCAAAAAAATAAAGTTTATGGTCATGAACAATGGTGGAAAGTACTCAGGTGCTGCTCTTATTTGTGTATTATTCTTTGGAATATAACTACTTCAATCTTATAATATTCAAAACTTCTTCAAAATACTGTCTTCATTGTTGAAACAATAAATGTATTTTTCACCAATAGCAGTAACGTTAAGCCTTTCAGAAACAACTGATATTTAACATTCTTCTCACTTTATTTTCATTAAAACCTTTTTCTTGATAAGTCCAACTTTATATGCATTATGACTGTTTGTTAAATCATAACTGCAACTTTATTTTAACGATATACAACTTTTTTTCTCAGAATATTACATCTTTATTGTATAAATCTCATATTTCTCTAATATTCCATCCTTAAGATTCCACAAGGCATCGATGAACAAATGTTTTGTGTGATTTGAGTGAACAGCCTCTTAAACACTTGTGTGGATGATAACTGTGGTTTACGACTAAACCACCATGAACCTGAACTCCACACTGAAGCTTAGTCGTTAATGACTACAGTCAACACATCGTAGACCTTCTTGAACATATTAAACAAACTGTGGAAATTAAAAACAAACAGGCACAAAATGCAAAAGCAAGAAACTAGTCTGTTGTTATGAACAAACATGTTCTCCACATTAATACAAGTTGTCTTCAGAAGCAGCGATGAGCTCGCTAACAGTATCAGATCATGTTGGAGGCGGAGTGAGCAGCAGCCACTTCAAATAAAACAGGTTATTATTATTAACTGTCAGGGACAAAAAAAAATTGATCCGATTCTCGTTATCACCACTTTAAAAACTGTGATGTCATCGTGTGACCTCATCTCCTACACATGTTCTGCTTCAACAGGTGCAGTGTGTTTTTGGGGGAAACACAACGTCGACCAGATTGTGTTATTAATGGACATAAATAAGTCATGGTGGCAGGTAGTCGTTCATTTAAAAGGTAAAGTCTGGTGATATTGTTTCTTATTGTCAACAAATACCATGAAAACTCATCAATGAGTGTCACTGTTGCAATGAGTTCTTTCATTAACATGAACAAACACACTGCAGTTTACTTTGACTCACTCACTCACTCACTCACTCACTCACTCACTCACACACACACTCACACACACACACACACACACACACACACACACACACACACACACAC